GCTGTACAAAGATACCAAAGAAAAAGGACTGCTTGTTGACAGAAAAAGGGATTAGCAGTGCTTCTTAAAGAATTTCTAAACTTTGTAAAAAATTCTTGACTTTTTCACATTCCCACAATATATGTGTTAAAGTTTCAGTCTCAGACAAACAAAAAGTACAGAGTGGACTATCTACTTTCTTCACCTTATACAGAAATGAGTTTGTAGTCAAAGTGTAATGTAAGCCTCTGTACTGAAACCAATGAAGCTAAGAATTATTAGTAATTTTAAAAGGTAAAGACAAGATATTTGCCCAAGTGGATTCCTCACAGTTAAACTGTTCAGCCCATTTCTTTCTACCTGTAGGAATTTCATTATTTTTTATAAAACATCTATAGATATCATTTGTCCCTTTTTCCTGTAGGAAAAAAGGTTCAATGTTGCAAGGAATAAAAGGCAAAGAAAAATCTGAATCCTCATTCATATGCAGATCAGTATACTTCTTAATAGAGTTTAAGATTCCTTGAAACCTAAGAAAATACCATATTTTTCAGAAAAATCATTAAAAGAATAGAAAGAGACTGTATTTGAAACCTGTAAATTACCATTTACAACTCTAACACCTTTTAAAAACCAGTCTTTGTAGAAAACAGAATGCCCACCTATAGTTAATTTTGGGTTTTACAAAAGAGGTGTTTTCAGTGGAGAGAGTTGTCTACCTTTAACTTTGAGCTTTATGATCAGTAGCTTTTCCCAAGCTTGGAAAACATCACTCCAAAATTTATTTTTACATTTTTCCTGACACTTTTTTATATAATCACTCCCACAGTTCATAGCAAGATCAGTATTAATTTGTCTTTTGAATAAAACTTTCCACTTACTTGGAACTTCAATGCATTTATGAAATCTGAGATACTTACCATCTTCAAACCTCCTTCAAAATAGTTTTTCATAATGACATTTCTTGTAATTTTATCACTTTTCCCATTCCATAAGAAGTTAAAAAGGATAGTATTTAAGTAATTAATTAACTTATTACCTGGATTTCGAAGGGCAATAAATAAATGATTAAATTGTGAGATTAAAAGTGACTTAATGACATGTATCTTCCAAATTGGAGATATCATTCTTCTACTCCAAGATTTAATAAGAGATTTTAGTTTTATTAATTTTATGTCAAAATTTAGTTTAGGAATTTCATGCAAGTTTACACTAAAATCAATCCCCAATAATGTAAATTTATCCTTTCCCAACTGTAAGTTAAGCTCTGGTAAAAAGTGTCAGTAGAATATTTCTTACTACCAATCCATATTACCTGTGTTTTGCTAGTATTAATCTTAAGACCTGAAATATTTGCAAACAAATTAAGCTCCGTTACAGATTCACGTAAAGATTCTTCTGACCCATCAAGTATCAAGGAAGTGTCATCAGCATACTGAGAGAGAAGTATTGAAAAAATCACCTACACTTATACCACTTATATTTTTGTTTTCCCTTATTCTTATTGCTAGAATTTCCGTGCATAATATGAAGATATACGGTGAAATTGGGTCGCCTTTCCTGCAGCCACGCTTTACTTCTAAGAAGTTTGATACATTTCTCCCATGATTTATAGCTGAACTGGCATTTTTGTGAAGAGTTTTGACCCACTTTCTAATACTCATCCCAAAGCCAAAAAAGTTAAGTGTTTTATCCATAAATTCTCATGAATCAAAGGCTTTCTCAAAGTCGATCATTAGAAGCATTCCTGGAATATTATTTTCTTCAGTAAAATTCATTATGTCATAAATAAGCCTAGTATTTTCACCTATATAGTGTCCCGATCAGAATCCTATTTGATCATGGTCAATAATTTTGTCTAAAACTGACTTCACCCTATTCACTATTACCCCAGAAGCAATTTTGTAACCAATATTCAAGAGAGAAATCGGTCGCCAATTTTCAAAAACTGTCTTGGTTTATCCCCCTTTGGTATACAAATAATAATTCCTTGTCTTTGAGTAACAGAAAGTGTTTGCAAAATACCCAAAATTAAGTGACCTAACAATAAATGTACCCAACTGCTTCCAAAAACATTTAAAAAATTCAGTGGTAAAACCGTCGGAACCTGGGCTCTTTTTATTTTTCATTTTGCTAAGAGTTTTACCCGCTTCTTCTAATGTAATAATTCCTTCCAGAGCATCTGATTCTATATCGTCTAATTTAGGAACATCAAAACTATCAATAAAATCATCCAAGATAATATAAAAAATTTCATCAAATACAAATTCTCATAAAAATCTTGAACTTCATTTAAAATTTCAAATTGATCAGTTATTATCCTATCACCTTTCTGTACCTTAGGAATAATTTTTGAAGTGTAATTTCTATTTTCCAAACCTAAGAAATAGCTTGTAGGCTTTTCACCCTCCTCTATCCATTTTGCCTTAGACCTAACAATTATTACCTTGTATTTTATATGACCTTATGACTTCCAAATTTTTTTTTCTTATTTGTAAGCTCTACAGTATCTACCTCGTCCTCATTTTCTAACTCCTGTATAAGTTTCTTAATCTTTTCTTCTCTACTATTTTGTGTTTTCTTTAAGAATGATGAATATGAAATTGTTTTTCCCATGATTTCCATTAGAAGAACCTCTAAAAACAATTGATCATTAATAGTAAATTGCAAATCTAAGTCTAACAATTCTGAAATATTATCCAAGTTGTAGACAGGAAGGCAATATCTAGTTTTTATATCATTAATACAGGTTTTAACCATTTTGAGATACTCCATATCTTTTAAAAGAGAATTTTTGAATTTCCAGAGACCTTTACCTTTCTTAAATTTCTTGAACTTTAAACTAATTCAGATCAGATTTGTAGCCAGGATCTATGGAAGAACTTACAATACTAGTTAGTAAACTTTCTGAAATTAAAAAAAAATCTAGCCTAGCCTGCTTAATAGGATTACTCTTTCTCCAAGTATATCTTTTAAAATGTTCATGTTGCTCTCACAAATTATCTACAAGGCCCTGATTTTCCATGATTTCGCCAATTTTTTCCCTAGATTTAGGATTATAAATGTTTTTATAATTGCTGTCATAATCAATCTCAGGTTTCAAAACTAAGTTAAAATCACCGCATAAAATAACATCATTATTTCCAAAATCTTCAATAGCTTCACTTATATTATTTAAAAAGTCGGGTCTATCCTAATTAGGGACATAAACTGAAATAAGGGTTAATCTTGTACCTTCTATTGTTATATCTAAAGCTAAAAAATACCTGTGTTATCTTTCTTTTCCCTAGGCACCTTCGATTCGAAATTATTGTTAATAAATATAATGGAAACACCAGGAGCTGTATTACAGCTACAGAGCAGATATAAAAAAGAATGGAAGTGACAGAACTACATTGATTAACAATAACGAGTCCGGTGAAGAGGAATTTTAATTCCTGTACTGGAAATCAACTATAAGTAACTATAAGTAAGTAATAAGAGCTGAAGTAAAGCCCCATTCACTTCGGTAAATATTTTCCTTTTCTTCCGTAAATGAGTGTCCTGGAGACAAAAAAACATTATAACATTTACTTTTCAAGTATAAAAACACACCTTTTCGTTAAGAACGATCCCCTACACCCTGACAGTTTGAACTCAATATGGTTATGGAATCAGCTGCAAATCGAACGTTGCAAAAGTATTAGTATTACCAGAACTTCTATGAGGTCTGTGCCAGTCCAAGGGAAAGTAGGAATAAAAGAAAGAGGGGCCATCAAACAAGTAAGATAGCTAGTAGACATAAAAGTTACCATAAGGTCTGAGTCAGCGACAACTTGCAACTCAGCACCCTGAAAATGAAAATTTGTCGATCTTGTGGCCGTTACGGCAAACAGGAAGTGACAATTAAAACCGGAAGTGGTAAGGGATATATAAGCGTCGACATGAATTCATGGACAAGCAAATCCGGAAATAATCAGAAAGTAAAGTATAAGAGGGTATTACTGTAATACAATGTTACAGAGTTGTGAGGACACCATAGCATAGTTTTTTTTTTATTTATTTACAGATAAATAAGAATAAGTAAATAGATAAATACATGTAAGCTTTCTTCCGTCCGTCAAAATCACAAACAATTTCCCGTCTGCACTATATGAGTTCTTTACACATCTGGGTTTGTAAGCCTCCTTCAGTCTATCTTGGTTGAACTTGGTAAGATCGTCAGACACACTAGTTCCTTTCAACTCCCTTCTCTTTTTCATAATCTCGTGCTTCTTAGTCCTGTGAGTAAATTTAATAATAACAGGTCTGGCCTTTCCGTTGGAAAACCTTCCCAGTCAGTGTGTAATGTCAATATCATTTCCACTTAGACAGACGTTCAGTTTGGAGTTAATAAGTCTCACCACACTGTCCTTGCAATCTTCAACTGTCTCATTCTCTGAAGTATCCGCTAAACCAAAGATTCTGATCGAATTCTTCCGCCCATGTTGCTCAAGATCGTTAAACTTTTCACACAAAGCTTTCTCGGACTCTTGGAGATCTGAACACTGAGTTTTGAGAGCTCCGACCGTTTGTCGCAGTCCACCATTTTCCTTTTCCAAATCAAAGATTCGTCCTTCTAATTTTTCCACCAACTCACGATTCTCTTTTCTGATCTCGTCATTCAACTTTATAAGTCTTTCATCCATTCTTTGAATTTTGGTGATGTCCTCTGTCAGTGGCAAGATAGATCCTTTGTTCCTCTTCTCTGAGCTAAGAGTCTGTAATGCAGCGATGGACACATCATCGCTCCATTCATTTTCACACAATGTGAGGAATGCATCAGCATTTGATCCTGATTGAGTGTCAGCAGAAATCACAGACATTGCCTTCTTTACCTTTGCACATTTTTTCAACAGGTGTCCAATTTTCAGTGCCAGAGAAGGATTGCTGTACTTGTTGTTTTCTTCAAAGTAACTGCAGAGCTTTCTTGTTGCATTTACAGCAAGTGGAAAATTTTTGGGGACAAGTACATCTGACAGTGAATTTATCTCTGTGTCTTGTTTCCTTACCGAAATTAAAAACCGTCCAAGTTCTCTCATTTTTTGACTAACATGCGGATACAGATGAGGTAGGTGACCATGTTTCTGGAACAATTTTTCCCCTATACGTAAAATGACTGGGTCATTTCGCACAACCATAGTAATTTCATTGGTATTCATACGACTCAACACCTTTCTTTGAAGACCCTCACTGATCACAACTGAACTTGGCAGCAGAAGAGATGCCTCTGACTTTAATCTTTTTTGATTCCTATCATTTTTTCGAAATGGGCAAATTTTCCTATGTCTCCACAAAAAGGCTAGACAATCTTCACAAGACAAGTATTCTTTTGCTGTGGTTGTTGTTTCATCTTTTCTTGTCTATGTAACCAATGTTCCAGTTCCATTCTTTAGCACTTCAACATTATGTTTATAATCTCCACTATTCCTGTGTTTCATCAATGCTAATTTTCTTTTTTCTGACTTCAAGGGTAAGGACAAGATCCGTTGCACCTCCATTTCCTGTTTGTGGGGTCCTAGATAATGTTTGGTAATGTTTGTAAATCCTTCTCCACAGTACATACAATAATGAATTTTATCCCAAATTCTGATGCCATCCTTATTTTTGCTTGCCTGTACTCTAACAGGATCTATGCCAGTTGCTGAATATGGGTCTACTGTCAATGGTTTCTGTTCTTTTTCAGTAATTATATTGGCTCTTTTTTTGCGCAATGCTTCAACTGACTTGGAAACACTTTGAACTGGGAATAATTCTGATATCCTTGATGAATCTGACAGATATTCTTCTTCTTCTTTAGATTCCGACTCCAAATCTGCATAATCTGGATCTTTCTCATCATCATCACCGCAACCAAAAAAATCCATCTCGCTGTCCTTGTCGCTTGCATCATTCTCATCATCTTCAGACTGAAAAAAAAAGCCATTATAATAAAATCACAGAGCTAAGCCTCATAGCATTAGTGTGTTCATCTCTTTATGCCCATCACACATACATATGGTTGGGTTGAGGACAGAGGACAAAGTCTAAGGGGTGGGTCATGTGTAAATTCAAGTAGTATCAATTAAAGGTCATGGTTATTGCATACATGAAGATCTTCAGATGTAGCATTCAGCCCAGGTGGGGATGCCAGCCTGCAGGAAAATGTGTACAGATGGAGAACCAACAACAGCCGACAGGTTATAACATCAGCTCTCCATATTTTTGACCAGTAAAGCTAAATATGCATTCAATGTCCTACATCATTTCCAGTCAAACCACAAAATATCACTGAAATCCGAAACATTTAAAATTCATTACATTATTACCATGTTTTCCTCTGCAGTAAATTTGTATTCATCTAATGGCTGCACACTGTATAATGAAAGTGAATCAAAGACCCAGTCACGAACTACTGTCACAATTCCAGTCTTCATGTGAATCTCTGAAAATAAAACATCAAATACATTGAGATAGCATTATGATATGAGTGTCTAACAAATCAAGAAATGTATGAACCTTCCATCATTCCTATGTCAACATATGTTCCAAATTCTGATTCTAGGTCTTATAACAAGAGAACCAAAGATCTAGACAGATATTGGATTGGCACACACCATTACAAGGTCTGTCTAAAATGCTCTGCCAAAATGTATAACTGGAGTGTGGTGTGGTAGGGGGGATAGATGGTGGATAATATCAAACAATATTGCAAAACTCCCAAGAACTTTACCTAAAAGACAAAAAACTGACCAATCACAAAATATGACTGACCAATAAAAGTATGATCATTCTGTGTACCTCTGACCATGTCTTGTACTGAACGTGTGTGTATACATATATTGTATACATACCTCCAGTTAACTTAACATATTGTATGTCGTATCTAAAAAAATACAAATTTTAACCAACACTCCTTATAGTTAATTAACTCCCTGTGTGTCTTTGCGTATTTATAAATAATTTCTTACAAATGTATTTACCAGTGTATTTTTCAACATCCTCAGGTGTCACATCATCATCTTCAGTACATGTCACTATAAGCTGTTTCACATGTTTGTTTGAGAAATCTGAGAGACTTCGTGCTACGGTACCTCCACATTCAAGTAGCAATTTTGTCATAGTAACTACAAAGAATAATGTAAGTTCTTGAAAATTGCAACAATCAACATTGATACACCAATGTGTTTAAACTCTTTGTACGAAAAAAATATTTAAATTCATCCATGGACAATTCATGATAATAAAATTACCTGTATGATATCCTGAACTTTCAATTATTCATAATAATTCTGATCTATGTATATGTATCTTGTATATCTTACATAGATGATTTAATAGGGCTATTCTACTTAAATTCATACTCCAAACCATGGATGTCATTATTAAAGTATTTTTTTGTTGTTTTTTCCCCAACATACCGTATGACCTGGGGTTAAAATTTTGTTCTAAACCCAAACATCAAACCAATATGATTTATTCTAAAAACTTTTGGTGTTGGCTATACATTTAAACGGAATATTCCTGATCAAAATTAAAGTCAAGAAAAATAATCAAAGTAATTGCAAGTAAATGCATACACACCTGTGTCAATATCTTTACTTGATTTTTCATCACAGTATATTTCATACCCTGTCAGCAGCGACGAACCCGTCATGCGTGAAGCTTTTGGCCTTTGAATTTTTGTTCCAGTTGTAGAATCCCCAATTATCTCATAATCTTCCTAGTAAAGTAAAAGCAAAACTGATTCTCTTAATAATCTAGTATGTTTTTTGTTTTATCTAAAACATGGCACTATAGATATTTGTACACTGTAGCATATTCAATATGAATACCCATTGAGGTTTGTAACAGATTTTACAAGTCTTCTCTTCTTTCCATATCTTATCTAACCTGTGTTTGATTCTAAGATAACCAACAAATTAAATTCTTGCCAAAACTTAAACGTCAAACACAGCATTATTATTTTTTATATTACTTTAACCTTAAACAGTCATTATTTCATTATCTTCGCATATAAGATTATCTACTGGATTGATTGTAATCGTACAATAATTGTTGGATTTCATCGTCTTTTCTTGACCCAAGGATATTTAGCCTTGGCCTTCAATAAATATCATCCTCTCAACATATTTTTGTTTCCTGCCGCTTCATTATTTTATTGTGAAAGGGCAAATATAGAATAAAAACTGCAAGAATTTCCTAGGACATCTCTTTATAACAAAGTTTAATATACCTTTGGTAACAGGTGTCCTGCTTGCTTGCTGTCTTCTATCCACTTATAATCTAGAATCCAGCAATGATTAGCAATGGCAAAAAAATATTTCACTGTTCTTGTGGCAATACGCACTGGATCTGAAAGACAAATAATGTAAATATTGGTACAGTTGTATAATGTTTCTTAATAATGTTTTATGAACAAAGGACAATTTTTTCTCCAAAACAACAGAAATCAATTATTTTGAAAAAAAAAATATGTACCTTTTAAAGCATTTTGCATAACTGAACTGACATTTCACACAATTCTTAACTTTCATAATCCACAGCAAGATATCAATTCAAAAGGCCCGGAGAAGAAATTATTGAGGAAATCTCACTTACTTGGCCTATGACCTTGAGTGACCTAATGGCAGTGAACTGCATATCCACTGAAGATGGTGCCAGTATACCGCATGTTTTGTTTATACATGTATATCAGACTTTCATTTTTGGGCTACTAGAAGATCCAGCAACTTTTACTTACAAAATTGAACCCAAAAATAGCTTCAAATCAAATAAAGATTATTTGCTACAGTAATTCTTGAGAAGAATTTGAAAATGTGGAGTGGCTAACAACAGACGACAGAAAATAAAGAAGATGGCAATTTCTTACATAGCTGTCCATGTAAGATGTAGTTTTTTCAATGATGTAAGGTCATGTAAGATGAATGGATCCTGCATGAGTATGACATTACAATGATGTCATGATATGGGAAGTTGAAGTCATTTTACACCATTTTGCTGAATCTTAATTTTCAGTTCAAGATGCTAATTTACAACTATTGCTGTGTTCGTTCAAATGTGTTCATACTTTTAGTATAAACAAAAACCTGCTTGTTCCAGTAGTATAGATAATTCTAAAATTGGTTCATCAAAGAAGTTGATGTTCAGCCCAAAGATTGCTGCTACCCATCTCGATAAAATAAATAGGTATGCTATGTAAGAAAATAACACCATGATATGTTTAAATTATGTAGGATAGAAATATCCCACCCTCAGGTATATAATTTGTGTTCAAAAACCTCCACAAACCTTGTTTTTTTGCCTCAAATTCTGTACCCTCTGATGTGATATTTCTATCCTAGACATATACATATGATATGTTATAGATATAGTCTAACTAGCTTGAGCCTTCAGTTTAGGTGAACTTGAAATGCATACAACATAAATATTTACATATATATATGTATTAAGCAATAACAAAAACTTGACAATGAGTACCTGTGTGCACAACAACATGTGTTACACATGGACTGAATTCTCTGTAATATTGCACGTCATTCTCTGATGCTACCATCCAGGTTTCCTTCTGTCAGAAAAACAAATTGTTTATTATATTTTAAAAACTAAAACTGTATTTTCCTACTTTAATTAGAAGAATGCTATGTAATAAAAGAATAAACATTGAAATTCAATATTTCAGAGTTTACAGTGGATAAAAATTCTGTGAAACTACAAGTGGACTTATATGTTGAGATCCAACATATCTGTCTAGAAACCAGAAATGGTTTCATTTTCATTCAAGAAACTGGCATATTTTGTTTGAAACGTGTCTCTCTATTAATTGTTCATAGAATCAAAGGAATACCATTATTGATGCTTTATCTATCTTTTGATATATCTAGTTTATATTAAAGATCATGATAGAACTGATAAAACAAATTCATAAAAAAATAGAATCATTTCACCTTCCCATTTCAGCTATCTACTTGTTTGAATCTAATATTATTAAATGTTTACCAATTGAACAGGAGTAAGTCCAGAACATAGTATGCCTCTGCAAAAAACAGTTTCTGACAGCAGCACTTCCGACACACATGGGGACTCGGATGATGCAACCATTTCTGTACATGGGTCCTCCTGTGTGATGGTAACTTCTGTTGTAACTGGTGCCTCAGGTTTCGGAAGGTTATTTTCTGAAGACACACATGGGGACTCAGATGATGCAACCATTTCTGTACATGGGTCCTCCTGTGTGATGGTAACTTCTGTTGTAACTGGTGCCTCAGGTTTCGGAAGGTATTTTCTGAAGACACACATGGGGACTCAGATGATGCAACCATTTCTGTACATGGGTCCTCCCTTGTGATGGTAACTTCTGTTGTAACTGGTGCCTCAGGTTTCGGAAGGTTATTTTCTGAAGACACACATGGGGACTCGGATGATGCAACCATTTCTGTACATGGGTCCTCCTGTGTGATGGTAACTTCTGTTGTAACTGGTGCCTCAGGTTTCGGAAGGTTATTTTCTGAAGACACACATGGGGACTCGGATGATGCAACCATTTCTGTACATGGGTCCTCCTGTGTGATGGTATCTTCTGTTGTAAGTGATGCCTTAGGTTTCATCAGGTCATTTGCTGTAAGTAGTTCCATTGAATTAGATAATTTATTATCAAATACATAAATGTATATATTTGCTTCAAATAATACAGGAAATAATGATTAGGTCATGACACTATTACAATTACTGCTCTGTATGATCCTTCCGAGGTCATCTTTAAATTTTTTTCTCATGGTTCTAGAAAGCTTTGCTGTAAAAGAAAAAATCGAGACTGAGGTCTACATATTTAAGTAAATGGAACAGACATACTTTCTATAAAATACCAGCTTTTACCACAGAAAATGTAACACTTTACAAGTCATACCCTGTTTCATTAAAAAAAAAAGGTTTTCTTAATTCAGTTTTAATGCAAAGCAACTCCATCCATTTTAGACAGCTTTTTCTTTTTTCACTTCTTCAAATAGTTTAAAATCAATTACATGTAATATGCATTATAAAATGTACTTTTCAATATATGAATTACGAAAAATAAAATCAGAAACAAAGTTAATGATCTGAAATGAAATATGGCTTAGTTATCTCAAAGTGTTAAAGTGTACTATGAACAAAACTTGATGTGAATAAACCATTACCACATACCTGGCCAATTCTAACATGTAATGTGGCTATGTCATATTGATACTGCATAAAACATGTGTAATAACACTGTTGTGATGTCATAAAAATACGACGTCACAGAATTGTCTCAGTCGTGGAAATTGTTTCCGTCGTAGTAGAAAGCCTTTCTTATAGGGAAAAAAATTCAAGTTTTGGCATATTTCTCATGGAAAGTTATGTGATAAATAGAACTTTACACTTGTGTCAATGTAATATAGAAATTTGTTAAACTAGTTAAACAAATTTCATATTACACTGACACTCATGTAAGATTCTTTATTTATTCTATATGATCCAAACTCAAAGAGGTTGAAAACAGCATGAATATAGACTGATTCATTTAGATAGCATCTGCTTGTGTGTCCAAACACCTGTATACAGCACATTACCTCCTCATAAAGGATGCATTTCGTCATTAAATTTGTAAAAAGTAATTTCTTTGTATGTATATATGTAGCACTTTAAATATTACCTAACAGAATTTATGACATAACTGAATACTCCTGCATATTGAACACTCTATCAAATGATTATCTTCAAGTATAATTCTATAGGGCAGTTTTGACAGCATTGAATTGATGTCACAAATGTGGGCTACCAATATCAAGACAATCGTCCCGAGTAAAGGGTGTGTTTTTTTCAAATAAATCTCAATATCTGGGAATTGAAGTTAACTATGATGGTTGCACTTTCTTTTTATTGTATAATATTAAGTATTTTCATACTTCATATAGCAAAACGTTCAGGGTACACTATAACTCTACAAACATCTAAACTTTAAAACTTAAACAAACTTTGGGTAACTGAACAAAAGTGAAATAACCACCCATAAGTAAAAAGGAAATGAAATAAAGAGGCTCACATCAATACAGTTATTAACGGTTCTACTAACTCAGTGTTATAAAGGGAATAAAACAAAGATTTTAATGTAGATATTGAAAAGTTTTGTACATTAAATTTGAGAATTCTTCGAAGATTAAATATATTAAGAATATGTTGACTGTATAACCCTGATGACATTGCTGGACAAGATGAAACACCTATCTCTACATTGTTCCAATTTGGAATTCAAATGTCAACCTCTTTAAAGTAAAAGTTATATTTTGAATGTATACAAGACTGGAGATAATGTACCAAGAACCACTTTATCTCAATTCTTAAGTTATAATTTCAAAGTTACATCAAAATGATATATTTGTATGTGTAATTTATTCAACATTGTCATTAAATGCTGAAAAAATTCAGAAATTTCAATAAATCACAGTCCCAACAAACATAATATCATGGCTATTGGTCATACTGGATGTAAACTGTGTTGTATTACCAAAAATTTACAATATTTGGTCAGGATATGAGCTTTACAAAACATATTTCATGGGATTACTGCATGAGAATGCAACAATAAAGACTCCTCCCCACTTCTTGCTGTCTAAATATTTTTTTTGAGATGAATTTAAAAATTCAATTTGAATAAATTCCTGAACTGTGAAGAATATCTTGCTCCCTACATATTACATCTGAACTATTATTCACAAGAGGCATAAATTTAAAGCAATCACTGCTTCTCAGAGACCGTTTTTGTTCAAATACTGAAATATTGGTAATGCATAATGATAAAAGAACTTGAAATTGTTAACATCAAAATAAACTCCCTGAATTGTTCACGTTACCTATGGATTTATTGATCTGTGAATTATCTTCACATGCACCTTTCCATTTACACCAATTATTTTGTGTTAATGGGATACTGAAAGAAGATACAACATTTTTCATACTATTTAAATGTTACATGAATGTTAACAGGAACAGCATAGACATTATTACTCTCCTCACATTCTACATTGATGTGTCCCAAGGCATATTGCATATTTCCACATAATCTATAGGTATATTTCACTTCTAATCATTTGACCAATAGCTGATATGATTTTATTTTTACCGAAGTTGGTTGTCTGTTTCCAACTATTAGACATTCCGTTTTACCTATTCTGATATACTTATATTTGGTTCTCTCCTTCTTGGTTAGGAGACCAATCTTTATTCAGAAATAATTGAGGAGACATAATAACATCATACTTCTACACACAACAAACATTCACACTGATGAATACCAAGTTACATGTTTTTATTTGATGCTCAAAACAACCATTCAGCCTTAAGGTATACTACCTACCTGACATCATCTTCTTCTCCAAAGAAAGTTCCATTTCCTTGCTCATCCACAAAGCCCGGCCACCATACCCCTTTTTCTAGTTTAATCCAAATGTATTGTGACAAAGTGCTACATGCAGAACCATCTATAAAAACACAAACAGTATCATGTTTTAGGTAAAGTTTCCAATTATAATTGCTGTGCAAGTTTTCACTTTTGTTGGCAAAAAATGAAAAAAAAAGTGGGTTTACAAAATCATGAAACATTTCTCTGTATACCACAGATATCACATATATGACATATTTGTGAAATCTCATTACATAAGATACATATATACAGACCAAATCTGATTGGTATCTCTCCATTGGAACAGGAGAAGAAAGATTTTTAATGTTTTACCTCAATTTCCCCTATTGCCTCCCCCCATCCCCAAGGGGGCCACACCCATCATTTATACAAAATTGAATCCATCTTTGCCCAAGGATTCTCCAGACCAAATTTAGTAAAATCTACTGGGCCGCTCAGGACTAATAGCGTTTTAAAAGAAAAGTTGACTTTGGTTCGATCCCAGGCAGAAGCATACACATGAAAGTATCTCTGCTACAATTACACTATCTTTATTCAGTCTACATGAAAACTGTTGCATACTGGCCATCAATAGCATTTGTAACTTATGGGAACAGTTGTATTGAAGGATATAAAACTTAACTGGTCTATCATTAATTTTCACATCATTAACTACAATTTTACTGACCTAACTGGAGCTACATTTGTAGTAATGAACTTGCATACAAGATAATATATATATAATTTATTCAATTTACATCAATGAAGTTATTTCAACTTATTATACATTAATTGCTCTTGTTTGTCAGGGTATTGTTAGTGTGCAGGTGTCTAATTCTTATCTTGTGAGGAAACTTGAGTGCCAATGGAGATCTAGAGAAAATCTGTGGTGTGGCAAGCGACCCATACCGTCCGGCCAGTGAATCGGAATTCAGTGTCTTTGTGAAAGGCAGGTGCGCTATCCACTGCACCACCCTGTGTACTTTGTTGAAAGTATAATTATATGTATATGACAGCAAGATACCAGTTTTTTTCTGCTTCCTTTTTGAGGTTGTTCCTTCCTGTTCTCCTCTTCTCTTTCTCCCCATACTGTAGGCCTAGTGAGTGTCGGCACTGTAATTTAACCAGAAAAAACTTTGTGTAACAGACAATCAGTGCACATACATGTAAACAAAAAGAATAGGCCCAGTTCATATTTGTTTACCATAAACATATACTTGCAAACTTGTTCGATTTCTAACTCCATCCCTGATAGTATTTGTCAAAAATGCATCAATCACCTAGTGTAAAAGTGGAGGTTATAGGTGGTCTTACAAGCTCAGTCTATGGAGAACTTCTCTTATAGTCTTATTGGTAGGATGTTCACCATGAGAGCAAAAGGTCGCTAGTAGTTCGAGCCCCAGCACGGGCAGACATTTTTCATTACTCCCTTCTGTACACATTTTTTACATAGGTCCATGTCTTTTATTTGTTAATATTGGGAGCTCTGCCCCCAACCCCCTGTCTTTTATTTGTTTCCCAGAATTACTGTAGAGTCCTTAATAGCATACTTAATTGAACTGATACTTATCTTAAATTTAGCAGAAAAATGTAAATTAACTGCCTTCCGAGGACCTACGTAACAGATTCTACTCCTCCCTCCTACTACACATAAAATAAAGAGAAAAACACACCATGCAAGGCAAAAATTTCAAATGTTCCTCTTCAGTCCAGAAATACGTGTATACTTGTAAAGATACGGCGGAATTGTTGAAGCAACTAACGTTACGCATCATTGACAATATTTACAACCATACAACTTAAATCCTTATCGACAATAAAGGTTGATACTTTTAGCAGTGTTTTTACCGAAAACACAAACAACAGATATTCTTTGCTGTTTTCTGAGAAATCAGTATGAAAATCTAACCCATGAAATGTGC